CCCCTGTTCAAGCAGGGCCACTCAGAGCCAGTTGCCCAGGGCCATGTCCAGATGGCTGCTGAACATCTCCAAGGATGGAGACTCCGCAGCCTCCCTGGGCAGCCTGTGCCCGTGCTCAGTCACCCTCACAGTGAACGGGTGTTTCCTGGTGCTCAGAGGAAAACTTTCTGTCTGTGCCCATCACCTCTGGTCCCGTCACTGGACAGCACTGGCAGGAGCCTGGCTCCACCTTCTATACCCTCCTCCTTCAGGTATTTTTACACGTTGGTGAGATCCCCCAAGCCTTCTCTGTTCTAGGCTGAAGGGTCCCAGCCCTTCTCAGCCTTTCCTCTCAGGAGAGATGCTCGTGTCCCTTCATCATCTTTGTGGCTCTTTGTTGGCCTCTATCCAATATATCTGCATCTCTCTTGTACTCTGAAACCCAGAACTGGGCACAGTGCTCCAGGTGTGGCCTCAGCAGTGCTGAAGTCCTAAATTACTGATGATAGGAGAAGAGGAAATGGCCTCAAGCTGTGCCAGGGAAGGTTTCAATTAGATATTAGGAAGAATTTTTTCACTGAGAGAGTGGTTAGACACTGGAATGGGCTGCCCAGGGAGGGGGTGGAGTCACCATCCCTGGAGGGGTTCAAAACAGGAGTAGATGTAGCACTTGGGGCTGTGGTCTAGTGGTGAGGGAAATGTTAGGAGGAAGGTTGGACTTGATGATCCTACAGGTCCTTTCCAACTGTAGTGATTCTGTGATTCTAAGTTGAGGATTATCTTCATTTTTTTAAGGAATTGAGTACCTGTGAAAGTAATTGCTGCAAGAAACCTGATTCAAATGTTTTAGGCACTGTTAGTTGAAGTGCTTGTTGCTGAGGATGCAGTGTCCTGATGGAACTAAGCTAACAGATTTAAATCTTCCTGTGAAGCTGAGCTAGCTGCCCAGGGAAGTTGCAGTCCTTTTCCCTTATGTACCACCAGCAGTCACTTAGAGGCCTAGTCCTGTCGTGCTCAAGCCAGTTCAGGGAGCTAACTATACACGTTAACCACTCACAAAATAAGTGAATGAGTTTCTACTCATTTGGCTTCCTAAAACACTTTGCCATGGAGGCTTATACACAGCAGTGCTAATGAAAGGGGCAGGCAAAGGCAGGAAGAGTAGAGTGGGCTTGCTCTTGCCCACCAGCGAGGTGTTCTATCGGTTGAGCTGCAGCACGGAGCTGTCCTCGTGCTCCTTTGCTCTGTCAATACAGTAAATGAGTGAGAAGAAATACGATGTGTTCTAATTACACAACAGTACAGTGGGGTTTAGCTGCCTGTTGTCACCAACTCTAAAAATCCACGCCTTAGATTACTTTAGTAGATTACTATTTAGTATTATTTTAGTTGCTGTTTTTTTAATACATTTTAACACAATCTTCCTATTATTGGTCACTGTCAGCACAACTCATAGCTAAGCCTACCTAAAAAAAGGTCCTAGTTTTGCATAATCTCTTAGCCCTGGAATATTTCAGATTAGTGAGGTGAAACCTGATTTGTGACTCTGAGTAGATGGGCTGGGCTTTGTGCCCTGGGTTTAAGTTGGGAGAAAAACACAACTTGGCAAGTTGTGTCATTTTAAGCCTGTTTTTTGTGTCTTACAGACTTCTGGGACACAGCAGGACAGGAGAGGTTCCAGAGCATGCACGCGTCCTACTACCATAAGGCTCACGCTTGCATCATGGTAAGGGTGGTGTCCCAGTGTGACCTGATGGAATGGGACTGGCAACAGCCCCAGCTGACACTTGGCTTGCTCGTTACACTCTGTGATTACGTTGCCTTATATTTCATGTCTCTTCCAGCATGTAAAAAAACTCCCCTGTATTGTTCTTTCTGCTCTCACCAGATAAAAGTAGTGTAGCTGGGTATGTTTAGCTGCATTCTGTCTTTCCTGATAGCACTCTTACTGTACTCCCTGCTCTTACTGTCTTCTGCATTTCCTTGCTTTTGTCACTGTGGTTCCAGTCAGGTGGTACGAGTGACTGAATGTACTTATATAGAAGCAGTCCTGTCACAGGTGAGAGGCCTTTCCTTTCTGGCTCTGTGGTGTGACCATTGGATTGTGCAGTACAAACCTGTTCTGGCATGTTCTCCAGGGGTACTACATGAGACTTTCTTCTCTGGTCTTCTGCCCTTTCTATTTTCCTCTTTGTTCCACTTCCCATTTATTAGCTCAAATCAGTCCTGTCTCCTAACTTCTAGCCTGCTCAGGTATCTCGGTTTGTACTCTTGCTCTGCTGTTCCACTATTTCTCATCTCTTGTGAGCATCAGTCAAATTCATTGATATTTTAATTGTTGAAATGGAGAAGCCTCACATCTGACCCTCTATAGTGGAACAGGTCTTTCCCAGGGCTTGTTTGCTGTCGTGGGTGGTTGAGCACTTGTCGTAGTACAAATAGGAATGTGATGAGAAGAACAGAAAATGAGGGACTGTGCCCTGCATCGTGCAAAGAAACGGGCGGGCTGCACGTTTCAGGGGTTGCTGGATGTTCCCCCTTTTCTGTCATCCTTTCTAACAAAGGACAGTTCCCTGTGTTGATGTCCTCTGGGGAGGAGGCTGGGCTCTGTACTTGTGTTTGGTTTAGTGGGTTGATCAGGAGCTGTCCTGCTGTTGGCCCCCTGACAGCTGGTTCTTTTTCGGAAGGTGTTTGATGTGCAGCGGAAAGTCACCTACAAGAACTTAAACAGCTGGTACAAGGAGCTGAGAGAATTCCGCCCAGAGATTCCTTGCATTGTGGTGGCAAATAAAATTGATGGTGAGTTTATCTTCTTCCTTCAGCCTCTCAGGACAGTGATGTGGTTCTCTCCTGACCTGGCTGAGAAAGCATGTCATCCCTCTGTTAGGTCCGGAGAATTCTTGAGTATTAGTCCATCGTGGCTGTCTTTTCCCAAAGAGCTGGGTCCTCTACTGGCCTTGCATGCTCTCATACAGGCTCCTGTCCTTGTTTTAGTAGCAATTAAAAAATAAAAATTAGATACAATTAAACTTTATTCAAGTCATGTCCTTCGAATTCTGTCCTTGCCATGCTCCCCATTTTAGCTAGCAAGAATCCAAAAGCTGATTGGAACCATACCTAGTCAAAAATTGCAGGGTATCTTGCTAGAAAAGCAGCATGACCTCTGCTGTGGCTTCCCCAGATACAGTCAGTGACTGCCCTGGTGTTGTTAATCCAGCCAGCAGTTGCTATGGGACTCCTCTGTGCTAAAGTGTCTAAATACACCTGCTGGCAAAGTTGTCCACCTTCCTCTGCAGAGGACTGGATGACACCCTCCTCTCAGGAATG